CTCTCTCTCTCTCTCTCTCTCTCTCTCTCTCTCTCTCTCTCTCTCTATATATATATATATACATATATATGCGTGCATTATACAGAGGGCTTAGAATTGGTGAAGCACGTAATCGCTGAATGGAAAGTTGTGCTTGAAAGCGCTTTTTCATCCGACAGAACGGCAAATCCTCAATTAGAGGATGTCACAAAACTAGTTTGAATTGGGACTTCAACTGGCTTCATGGCACACTGCTATTTTTGCTGTCAGGCGTAGGAATAAAAAAAAAACAAACTCGCTGGAAATAAAGCAGCGGAACATCTAAGGCACAGGTAAAGTTCTAAAAGTGCTATTTTTGTAGGAATGGTAGGAAGCTGTGCCGTCTTGTCTCTTTACCTATGAAAATGTTGAGACATGGGTTAAAATAAAAATAAAATGCATCAAAAAATGCCAAGGATACCCGATTCAATATCACTGTCATGTCGCGTTCATAATTTAAATGAAGTAAAGCAGACCCTCCGTGAAAGTAGTCCAACTCAGTGTCAAGTTACCAAACCGAGCATGTGTTTAACTGGTCCGCCTTATTTCATACTTGTGCCCCGAGTACGAACGTTAGTAGTCAAGCTGCAATTCTACCTTTGCATTTTGTCTTAGTATTCATATTTGCCACCGCAAACAGTGACCTAGTGTTCAGCATGTTTGAGGTGTTGCTTGAACCTCGGCTGTGGCCTTCCTGTGTTGGGTTAGAATCTCCTTCCCATGCTTGCTTGTGTTTCACTGTGAACTGTGGCTTCCTCTCACGTGCATTCGGGGCTGCTTCTTCACACGGTAATATTTTCAACTCCTAAGAAGGTTGTACATGCCACATCCTTGCAACAGGCGTGTGTGTGTCCCGGATAGAGTCCCACTTTACGCGACAGCCGTTTCACACACGTACATGACTGTTATTTTAAGATGACAATCACTAATCTTTAGCAATTTGGCCACTGTACGAAATCTATTGTATTCACTTTGCCGCCCTATTTTTCTTCAAGTAAAAGATCAACATAGTGAAGCATAGCTTGCCAAAGCAGTGAATGGGACTCCTGAGTGTATCGAGCCTTTTGTGATCATCTTTCCCCCCCACATTTCCTAGATGCGCTCCATAAAGGCCGTCTTAACCCTTTCATGCATCCTAGCCCTCGTCATTATCTTTCCTGGCCACGGCCTTCTCTTTCTATATCCATCTATCCACAGGACCCAGTTCTCTTCACGGGCACCATGAGGAAGAATCTGGACCCTTTGAGCGAGCACACAGATGAGGACCTGTGGAATGCACTCCAAGAGGTACTCCAGCCCGTCTCTGAATGATTCCCCCTTGCCGGCCCAGGGGGGGATCCCTCTGTCCCCCTGTACAATGCCGCCATTCAGCCTCCCTGCTCGCCACAAGTCATGGGGGGAAATCCCATTAGGGCCATGGGGCCCTGCTCAATGTGCAGCTTGTAACTGGGAAGCATTGAAAGTGCTGGGGGAGATGTATTTGAGCAGTCAGGCCAATCAGGATGAAGCCTCCCGCACGCCCCCACCCCACAGTGAAGGGCTTCAGCTCCTGGTCCGGCCTCTGAATGGGTTTGGTGGCCTGGATTAAAGCTAGAGGCTGGCCACAAGAGAGCACTGGCCAAGGTCATCGGTGGACCTGGCCTTGCATTGTGCCAGGCGGTTAATGGGTGTGTTTGGATGGCTCTTTAAAGGCATCTCCGCAGGAAGCCTTGATACGGCAGTTGTGAAGGGCCGGGGGCCATGCTCTGCCTCTCCGCAGGTGCAGATGAAGGCAGTGGTGGAGGAACTGCCTAATAAGCTGGAGACCATGCTGACCGAGTCGGGCTCCAACTTCAGCATGGGCCAGAGGCAGCTGCTGTGTTTGGCCAGAGCCATCCTGAGCAAAAACCGCATCCTTGTCATGGACGAGGCTACAGCGAATGTGGACCCAAGGTCACAGGAGATTTTTTTGGACAATGTTTGCCTCATTCTGTTATCAACTACAATTATGAACGTTTTAAGGCGATCAAAACTCAACAACCTGTATCCTCAAGTGAGAAACAATAATTGCAGCAATTCTAAGCAGACACATCAACACTAATGTCAGAAAGTCAGACAATCTTAATGTTGTTTAGTGTTTACATTGTCTTTCCCCCACTAAACATCCTGACGACACTTTGCAAAGGAGCTCTTTTTGTTTTGTCACATCTGCGGCCACACATACCTTGCTGCATTGTCATGTGCCACGTAAAATCCCTGCCTGGGGCGCTTTCGGAAGAGTGTTTTGTTCTCAGGTGTTGTGTTCTGTGCTACTTTAGAACTGACAGCCTGATCCAGCAGACCATCCGGGGCAAGTTTCAAGAGTGTACCGTCCTCACCATCGCTCACAGGCTCAACACCATCATCGACTGTGACAGAATACTGGTAGGTTACCAGCCGGTAAATTTCCATCATCCGGCATCTTCAAGGTTAGAACTCATACAGATGATGTTTTCATGATGGATTCAGATTTGCCTCCGCTTGTGTTCTGGATGCAAACTTCACTGCACTGTGACGTGAACAAAGTTTATTTAACCCTTTCATGTACCCTGTAACCTGATAACATGATAAGTTGTCCACTGTAGTAACCGCTGTCCCTGAAAGGGTTAATTTCCCCACATCCTCTCGTGGAACCTATTAAGTAGAACACAATCCGAGATGTTCCAATTTCAAAACAACTTTGTTGCAAGGTCAAGCTGTGGCTGTTATAAAACTTTTGTAAGTTCTACAGACACCGAATAACATTTTAACATTCACTGGAAACATACAACTAAAATGAAGTACTCACTCTGTGAAGACGACTCATTCAGGCTATAAGCCACATTTTATTTTTGGAGGCTCCGCAACAAACCTCAGCAGAGATTGAATTCAATCATCCCATTTTGTAACAGCTCCACTGTCTTTCTCCCGCACGTTTCCTTTCGTTGAGCATGTTCTCGTGCCACTTTATCCTTGATCCTTTTCCTACAACTGCCTGCCTAGGTGCCAATTAGTGCCATTTGTGGCAGTGGTTGTCAAGAGGCTATGGAGGGCTCTGCGGGACCAGGCACTTGTCTGGTCACCATAAAATAGCCAAATATCAAGCGCCTGGGCAGCTGAGTCACACGCGAGTGTTAAATGCCCCAGGATTGACATTAAGCTCTGGGCAAACTACATAAAGAGAAGAGCCTGGTTCCAGTACTGATGTTGCGAGGTTGCCAAATATGCAAACTCTTTGTGCATCCTGAGTCAAAATCAGGTCTGGGAATGCTACAACCTGCGGTCTGTATATGAATCCGTCTTTTGTTGGGCCTTGTCTCGCAAGCAGTTCTAAAACCACCCGTTCGCCCATCTGCTATACCACTTTTGCTTTATACGCTTATAAGAGAAAGAGACTTGATCATGTGAAAATTGCAGTTCCTTCATTGTGTGGTTCTCAGGTGACCACAGAGAAATGACAGTTATTTTCAGGAGCCTTCTTAAGGATGTGATTGTTGGATTTGACAAAATCAATCCATGGCTGGTTATCTAATCATCAGTCTCGGGAACTCAGCAGTCGACTGTCACATGGCTAACAGTATAGATGCTATTGGTCTAGCAGGAACACGCACCAGATAAGTCAACATGAGCCACATAAAATGACACGTTCCGAGTAAAACACACGCGCTGGCACGAGCAAAATACTACTAAAGTTGCCTGTGGGATTGCAGGTCCTAGATGCCAGTAAGATCCATGAATATGATGAGCCTTACGTGCTGCTCCAGAATCAGGATGGGCTCTTCTACCAAATGGTCCAACAGACAGGCCGAGCCGAGGCTGCCTCACTACTGCACGCGGCAAAACAGGTAATTCAGGAAACAATACCAACTAAATATTTTCCCTGCAAAAGCGATCGTATTACAATACGGTATTGGCACAATATTTTCCCGACATCAGCAAGAATGTAGTATAGTTAAACCTCGGGTTTTGCAAGACTTGGTTTTCATATGATTTGATTTTTTAATAGTACCAGCTTTTGTACATCCAAAATAAAATTCCCCGGAATCAATGAACATTCATCCAAAGCATTCTGTCAGTTGACAAAAAAACAGGTTCCAAAGACGGCATGGCGTGTTCTACAATGTAATCTTTAAATGCCGACTCAAGGCAATAACCCTCCCGTTCTGTTCAGGCAGCATCGACGAAACACATCCTATCAAAAGTTGGACCTTCAAAACAAAAACAAGCAGTGGAGTAGCACGGTTTCACCACACTTGCTTTGGCCACATGGTGGCTTGTTTAGCAGCCACATTCAATAAACAAGCACAAAATGCTGAGTGTGACTGCTAAAAGAGCCACCATGGGGCTAAAGAAAGTATGGTGACGCTGTTATTGCACTGGAATGCTTTTATTTTGAAGGCCTCATTTCACAGCAATGTTGCCTTAACATGCCTCGGTACGTGCAATGGGCAAAACAACTTCAGACCCCGGAAAATGGCACCTATGAAGAGGCACGCCTACGAAGCACAGTTCAAACTTCAATATATCAGTTACGCGGAGGAACATGGCAATCGAGCAGCCGTGAGTGAGAGAATTTACGATAAATGAATCCGTGTTTTGCACGCGGAGGAAGCAGGAGAATGAGTTTCAAGAAGACAAAGCTGAGTTTCAGAGGACCGAATCGAGCAACGGATTCACGGTCAAAGAACAGCCGGGAGAAGCATCTCTACAGTCACCATTAAACTGCAAAAACGCTTGCAGAAGAAATGAAAATCGAACATTTTCAAGGAGGTCCATCTTGGTGCTTTCGTTTCATCAAACGGCGCCGACTAGCCATCCGCGCAGCAGCAACTTGCGACGGACGAAAAGGAAAAACTGGCCACCCTCCTCATCCGCAAACCCATAGGGTTGAATATTCTGCTCCCGTAGGGTTTGAGGATGAGGATTAATCGAAAAATAATGTGAATACATTGTTAAATACTTGAATAAAGTACCACTGAACTCAGTTTTGCTCCCATTGTTAGCTTGCATGCAAGCTACCATATTTTTTTTAAAGCTAGCATACATTTTATCATGCCTGCGTCCAATAATGCGGTGCATCTTGTGTATTTATTAAATACAGAAATAGCGCCCAAAACTGACACTGTGCCTATTAATACGGTGCGCCGTATACTTGTAAAAATACAGTCATGTGACAATTTCTACCCAATAACCACACAACAATTTACGGTATCAACACAATTGTTTCTTTACGAAAAACCTAGTATTACGCGACATTACCAGTGCAGGATTTTCAACATTTGAGCAGCTGCATAAATCACAAAAATGTTAATATTTGACATAAGTGCATTGGTATCACATTCAAAGTGATAGGATTATTAAACGCCACCAAACAGCTAACCCGGCACTCCACTGCCGCAATAATACAGTGAATCAAAAGATGAGGCGGCAATGTAAGGACACTTGACTATCATTTTCTGTGAAAGTACTCCCGCCACCAGAACATTAATTTCAACAGAACTGGTCCCTTTGTAGATTTGTCATCCTCGGATATGATCACAAAAAGTGTCCATGTAATCTTCCACCCTCTCCACGTAATTTTGAGATCATTTTAAAGATGATTCCTGAAGAAAAATTTTGTTTAACTTCATGGTGATTGGGGATAAACTTTCTATGGGGATTACTGTAATAGAGAATGTCCATATTTTTCCCTGTGAAATTCATTTGTGATGTATTTCCCCCTCGGACACTGACGGGCGATAAGAGCGGCGGGCTCGTCATTGTTCAGCGCCATTCTCTGCGCATCTGTCTGGGGCCGCAGATAGCATTGCATTGCGACTTCAAACGGGCCTTTGTGCAATGAGAAAAAGTGGGCATCATTTCATTTTCTCACAACTTTATCAGCTCCAGTCCATCTCGTCAGCCAGAGGAGTGAAATGAGTAAAATAGTGATTTGAAAGAGTCAGCACACTGCGCTATTATTTGCTGTGCTGTTAGTCTGCACACTGCTCCACTGGCAGCGACGTATTGTCCAAGCCTTTCCCTTTTCCTTTCCCGCATTGTACGCCGCTTCCCCTTTCATCAGATTACTGTCTAGCACCACTTTTACATTAAATACTGAAATGTTGTGTGACAAGTTTCTATGGTTGTCACTCAAGTTTATACACATTCAATAATCTGATATCAACCTCTTTCTGCTTTGTGCACGTTAAGAGGCTCTCCCACCCCCTCTCTGGATATTGTGCCTTGCCGACTTCCTGTTTTTTTTTTTTCTTTCCAAACTTTTCACCGCTGGTGAATGGCATTGTGTTCTTACAAGAATTTAATAGAAAAGCACACAAAAATGTCAGCGTTGGATTACGTTCATAGCTGGATGCTTTTTCTCATGGTTCCAAGGACGCAACCGACTCCACGAATATGACATTCAACGCTATATTTGACCAACCTCTAAACTATCAGGCTTTACTCTGTCCTTCAAAGCGTTTGCTATCGTGGGTAAGACAAACAGCCAAAGTCAAGTAAAATCCGACACTTGTGGACATGCAATGTGATCTAATTTCAAAACTGTTGTAGTGTAGCTGCCTCATGCTTTAGCCACGAGTTAACTTCGTAAACAAATACAGTGCAGCTCAGCCTCTGGCTGGAGGACGTCGTAGCGAGAAATCAGGTTTCAGCGGTAGATCAGACGCATGTGAAACTGTTTATATAGTTGTATTCCACTACAGATGTGTTTTCACAGGCTGGTTTTTCAACAAAACTTAACTTAGTAACTTAATGTCTACAAAAGTGTGTCACAACTTTGGAACGATAGGAAAATGCGGGTCCCGGGATAACGAGTTTAGAACCACTGTACTAGACCATCATACTGCCCCCAAAATGAAGTGATTTACCCTTTTGAGTGAAGGACGATGCTTGCTACATTTAAAAATGTATATATTAGCACCATCATAGGCGCATAATGTTAGCATGTTTAAAAACAATACATTGTTTCCTTATGATATGTTTGATTGACACACACAAACGGAGGTGAAACCAGTCGGTGAATATAAAGTCATATTGAAGGAAAGGTAATGTCGTCTTCCTCGCAGTCGTTCAGTTCCTGACTATTTGTACCAAGAATTCAAGGCTTGCTAGATAAACAGTTCCATACTATCAGCAGGACTGAACGTTTTCCCAGTTAAATAAGCCACTCTGGCATGCTTGAGCGGCGGACATATCCCTTCAAGTCAGCGCTGACTGCAGCTGTCATAAACGCGGCGGCCAACAGATCGCCGCCGCGATTGTGTGCTCGTATTCCGTGACGCCGTTTTCCCCGGTATGCTTGCAGGTGCATGAGAACAAAAAACGCGAGGCCCGCCACCTCCAGGACGTCGTCTTTGAGACGTCTCTCTGACACTCTGGAGAGCGTCTCTGACCGCCGCCTGCTACCGAGCCCTACCGGAAGTATTTATTTATTTGGCTGTGCATTGAAACCGTCCACTTTAGTGTGTGTCTGTGCCTTTATTGATAGCGTGACTGTTTACTGATAACACCGTGCTATGTTACTGTACTGCACTGTGGGCTTCTCGGTGCGAATTCAATCCTGTGCCGGAGATTGAAAGAGTGCACATATTGAATGTGAATGCGTTTATTCCATTGCACTAAACAAGTGACAGCTTTAATTCTCCCTGTTTGAGCTACACACAGCTGAGCTTGGTATTATTTAGGAAAGGAGAGCTAGCTAATGAGTTTGCACTTTCTTTCAAATTATGAGTCTTCTCGCACTTTGAACAACATGACCAATGTACTGTTTGTCAGCCTCAGCTCAGGAAACAACGGATTGCTTGAAATGTCGCATGCCGTCTGCCTTGAAAATATTCAACAGTGGTACCTCTACTTACAAAATTAATTGGTGCTGGAACTAGAAATTTCGAAAAAGTCGAGATGCGTTTTCCATGTAAATGTCCTCTGTAGCTCATGTTCTGTCTCAGAACAGGTGTTTGCCTGGCATTTTGTAAAGAGCTGATCCAAGGACGTTTGCTTTTGTCAGCTTTTAACAATCCTTCGAAAACGTCCAAGGCATACATCAGCATAGTGAGCGATGGCCCGACTGGTGAACACTTTTTCTGGGTGATTCATATTTACGTAAAACTATCGGAACGCCTCATGACCCGAGGGATGAATGACGAGGATGCTGCATTGACACAAATCTATCGATTTATCTATCTACACACATAGATACGGTAAAGGTCTCGCTGAGCCAATGGGATGCCAGGAAGATGCTCGGTAATCGCCAATGGCAGAGCAGCTATAAGGTTGTTGCGTTCAGGAAACTCGGAGCTACGAGTAGCAGCCCATCCTGTATTTTTACCTTTCGTATTTTGAAATTTCTTTCGTAACAAGAGGCAATATTTTCCTGTTAAGGTGTTTTGTAACTTGAACATTTCATATGAAGAGATGTTCATAAGTAGAGGTACCACTGTACCTAAAAGCCATGTTTGATTTTTCAACTTGACTATCCAGTGTTGCCCGCTTCTCAAATTCTGTACTTGCCCCCCGAGTCTAATAATCCGTTGGGCCACCCTCAGCAGCAGCCACTGAAATCAAGCATTTTCTACAAACGGCAATGAGTCTTTCACGACTCTGTGGAGCTATTGGCCCAACCCATCCTTGTGGAATTGCTTTTTATTAAGCAACACCGGAGGGTTTTCGAGCATGAATGGTCATGCCGCAGCATTTCAATTGGATTCAAGCCGGGCCTTTGACTAAGGCCACTCCAAAACCTCCATTTTGTTTTCCAGCCATTCAGAAGTTGACTTGCTGGCGTGTTTTGAATCATTATCATGCTGCAGAAGTGCGCTTCAAGCTGAGGTCACAAACTGATGGCTGAACATTTTCCCTCGGGATTTTCTGTTATAGAGGAGAATTCAAGGTTCCAGCAATCACAACAAGTCGTCCAGGTCTTGATTGAGAAAGCAGCCCCATATTATCAGACAACCACCACCAAGTTTGGCACTTGGTATGATGTTCTGAAATGCTATTAAATTTACACCAGCTTGTAATGAAACATGCACATTATAAACATTTTAACTTTCATTTTGGCAGTATTCTCCCAAAAGTATTCGGAATCATGCGTGTTATTTGTTATTATTACAATTTTTTTTTCTTAATGGAGGTGAGGGAGGCCTGCGGTTCCTCAGATGTTGTCCTCGGTTCCTTTGTGACCTCCCGGATGAAGCGTGACCGGCCCCTAAACTTATTTTTCTAGGCCGGCTGTTCAGAACTGTTCCATGTTTTCTCTACGGTTGATGGGTCTCAACATAGTTCTCTGGAGTCCCAAAAAGTTTAAGGAATGATGTTGTTACTCTTTCTAGACTGATAACCTGATGTCTCCATCATCTTTTATGGTGGGGAAAATAGAAGTATCGACTGAATATAGGAACAAAAATAAAAATGTGTGAATGTTCTAATTTTTAAAAAAAAGAATGAAATTGAGCCGTAACACCAAAGTGTCGAATCTGCTGCAACCCTGTTGTGTGTGTGTGTGTGTGTGTGTGTGTGTGTGTGTGTGTGTGTGTGTGTGTGTGTGTGTAGAGAGAGATAGATAGATGAAATATTTTATGTATTGTTCATTTATGAAAGATTATTAGCACTGTTTGACATGTCTTTAGATGAAATATAATGAACATGCAATAAAAATGTCCTTCCTTGACTTTGACTTTTTGTCTTTCCTGTCTCAAATTTGTTGGCGTCACTCCAACGGTGTGTTTGAGAGCACTGTGTGGCATTTTTGCTTAATTTGACATGTCAGTGGTACAATCATCACACCGGTCGAAATACAATGTGATTTTGTCAATAGCGGCACCGGCGCAATTAGTAAGCAAGGTGCACATAACTGTGGAACGGCGGGAAGAGCTGAGAACGGATGAGCCGCGCTTAGAAAAAGCCACACATTTGGCTCGTGAAGCGCTAGACACACGCACGCACACGCACACACACGCACACGCACACGCAGAGGAAGGGAGATTTGGACAATTCATTAAAGCCAGTGAGTGTTGAGCCAGTGTCATATTAAATGGTTACTTACTCTCAAAGAGCCTCCCGGGAGTTGAATTGTTGCCTTGCAAATAGATTAAAGTTTACATTGAAAAAGAGAAATGGAATTGGGGTGGATGGTTCGGGGAGGGTGTTAATCAATAGCATAATGGGCCAGTGAGAAGGGGCTGCCTGCTGCCTCAAATGAAATTACCATATTTTTAATCTTAATTTTCCACTCTGTTTATCTGACAGTGAGGATGTGCAATCCAAACAGATAATGAGACAGTGGGTTATTGACAGAAGGGGGCTGGTGAGGGGTGCGGGGGGGTGCTCTGGTGCGCTTGTTTCAGTGATTAAACAGCGTGATCGGTGATTACTTTGTGTTGCCGTGTCAGGATGGCGGCCAGGGGGACCTCGTGGCAGCTGGAGCACCTGACGCAGCATTGACAAAGGGGGTGGGGGTCTCCACAATGGGGCGAGGGGGGCGGGGGGGTCTAATGGCACTATCTACATCACAGTCAGCATATTATTCCTCCTGCTCTCCGCCTGATAGCTGCCGCGAACAAGTTTGCACAATAAGTATTATGAGGCGGAAGGATACCTCGGAATAATGGTGACATTTAAAAGGCTGAATAGGTGTGCAAATACATGTGCTTTTAATGGGTACAGTCAGCACAATGCCTGAATAAAAATGACAAATAGTGTCACTTAAAGGGAAACTCTATTCACTGATATACAGTCGATAAATGGGTGATAACACAAACACGGTCGCAGATTGTTTAAGGTTTTGTCCCGAGTGCTAACTTTCCGCTTTACCAGCATTTTCTTTTGCGATCTTTTTTTTTTTTTTTTACGCTTCCGTTTGACAAATGGAAACAAATTGCACAAGTGTCTGAATGGCGGCAAGTTTTAGGAAGCGTCCGACCCTGTCGGCGGCAATGGGCCGAGTGAGTGCAAGTGAAGGGAGTGTGAGTGAGCTGGATTTGGACAGGCTGCGCTGAAATTAGGATAATCGACTATGGCGGCTTTGTTCCTGGCTGGTGACACAGGGGCTGTTAGACGGGGAAGCGTCGCACCCCCTAGAGACTTTGTCGTGCTGTGTCTTTCCAAAAGTGACTACAAAGTGGATGTGTGACAAGTTCCCAAGGCCTGATGTGACTCTGTGTGCGTGCGTGTGTGTCTGGGTGTTTGTGAATGTGGCAATGCCAAACAAACAACAAATGGCACCTTTCTGAAGCGCCACGTGATGATGCTAGAAAATGTCGAGGTTAAAAATAGGTCGGTGTTGATGGTAGTTTGTCAATTTCAACTTCTTGATCACAAATGCACTATTTGCAATAAAAGCCACGTTTTTACCCAGCATGCATCAGCCACAAGGAATCACATCGCCTCTGCAGTAAACCTACTCCCACGACAAATGTAGGCTACATCAACTCAGTTCACCTATAAATAATTACAAAAGCTCACCCGAATGCTGGGAAACCTCAATTTTTTTCTGATTTTGCCACAAGAAATAATGGAAATAGAACTGACTATCACCATCAAAAAATCAAATAAACTCTTGATAATGTTATTGCTTGGTGAGCCGGAGCAGAACGGAGCCGGTCATATAGTATGCAGCCCGCCCCAGGATATAATTTGCCCACCTACCGCTTGAGACTCACTGATCTGAAGTCTTGTGAGACGGGCTGAGAAAAAATATGCATCATATGCTTATTATTGTGAACATTATCACTCTTGGATTTTATCATGTCATCTAATACTTTCAGTTTTGCCAGAACCAAGTTGAGTGGTCCATAGACTGAACGGCACAATTCACGTATCGCCTTTTCAAAAGCTTTCCCAACCCCTCCAAATGGGCACAAAAGAAAAAGACAAACCCTCTTTGCATACTTTTATAGAAGCCTTAAATCCCAAGCTATGCTCCGCCACCTTCCAAAAGTGCCGTTTGATTCTCCCGCCTGAGAGGGAAAGTGTGGAGACAATGGCCCGAGGGGGCCTCAGCTCATCAGTAAATAAGGCTTATTGCTTAAAGGCCCTGTGCTTATTGCTGATGTCATCCCTTTGTTAAAGATTGATGAAGCATGGGGGTGAGGGGGGTGCAACACCATGTATGCATGTGTGTGTGTGTGTGTGTGTGTGTGTGTGCGCGCGCATTAGGTCCAAAGTTGCTAACTCCCCCTGCAGACTTTGATATCATTTCAAATGTATGACATTTTAACTGCGACATTTTAAATTGAGACTCCTTGGTGGCAACCTAACCGGAATGCACTTCAAAGTTCCATCAGGCTCAGAGGGGGTTTGATGTGTGTGTGTGTGTGTGTGTGTGTGTGTGTGTGTGTGTGTGTGTGTGTGCGCGCGCCATGGGCTTTTAACCAAGGGAGGCCATAAGTGCAGTTGATGTTGTGGGTAAACGTCTGGCTTAAGGTAAAAGAGTGGCATGTGTGTGTGTGTGCATGTTGTTTGTGTGTGTGTGTGTGTGTGTGTGTGCTGAGTTTTTATCTGAGGGTGGCCATGTGAGCGGGTGATGTGTGCAAGTAAACTTTTAACTTTGGGTTACGGTGGCAACAGTGTGTGTGTGTGTGTGTGTGTGTGTGTGTGTGTGTGTGTGTGTGTGTGTGTGTGTGTCTATATATGATGGGCTTTTACCCAGAAGAACCATGAGAGCGGCTGATGATGTGTGCATGCAAACATGCAGCTTTGGGGAAAGGTGGCGACAGCGTGTGTGTGTTTCTGTATGTGTTTCTGTGTGCGCGCACGTGTGTGTGTGTGTGTGTGTGTGTGTGTGTGTGTATGTGTGTGTGTGTGTGTGTGTGTGTGTGTCCCTCCATCCATAGCCTCCATTCTTGTGCACTCGCATTTACGCAGGTCCAAGGGGCCAGTGTGTCTTTTCAGGTTACGTTCTCATCATTTCTCCTAATGTAGAGAGCCACAGGCTTGGTGGCAAGCGCACAATGCGCCTGTTGTACGGTTACTGTCAGCCCTCTCAAATAAGGCTTCCTGTTCATTAGACTTCTTTTCACCTCGCCACAATGCGCCGGCTTTGC